TAGGATAATAGTACTTGTATATCCCAACTGTATACCTAGTTCCAACGCACAAAAGGCAGCCAAAGCGTCCATATTTTCAGCACTCAATGGGCTTCTAACTATTCTACTGGTTCAGATAAGAGTTAATAAAATTCACAATCTGATAAGGGCATTAGACATCCTGTTGTAACCGAGCCTTAAATCTATTAAACCAAATGGACCAGCAGAGTACCACCGCAAAGTAGACCTCCTTTTCGTAAAATTTATCTTTGCTAATAGAATAAATGGAAAACTTATTTTGCATTATCCATCTTGGAGTCCCCCTTGTCTCTTATGAGGTTAACAAGCAAAGTTTGACTCACGGAAACTTTCGTTGCTCTCATTGGTAGTTCCGCGGTGCAGAAATTAGGCTATGACTAGAGTCGGTTTTTGAAAACACTTGCGTTTTTCTGCCGTTTAAGTTCCACCAATAAGTTTTCCTTGTGGGTTCGGACTACTATGGTCACGTCTACACAAGAGTTTTACTCTGATTGCTCCCTTGAACCTTTTTCACTTGCCCACAAAAAAAAAAAAAATTCTCATACACTATTCATGTATCCAGACATCGAAAGACCATATGTCAACATAAGGCACCCAAAACCCAGTGTCAACCAAATTATGGGAGATCACACGGATACATTAAGGATATAATATGAAAAATTTAATCTTTGAAATTACAGAATCTTTAAATCTTTGAAGGTGTAAAGTGTAAAAAATTTAAATTTTTTTGGGTTAAACACTAGAATGACAAGGTTCAAACCCACGAATTTGAGATTGACAAGAGAAGCGGTGACCATTAGGCGAAGCTGCTAACCTCTAACGGGATGTGTGTGTGTAAGAGAAAGAGAGGGAGAGGGAGAGGGAGAGAGAGAGACTAAACCCTCACACATACAACAACAGCTTACAGCCATATTTAAAATTCATTTCTGCCTTTAATATTTGATGCTTTCAGTTCCCTCCACCCCACCAGTTATTGAAGTTCTGATGCCACGTTTTAGTCGGTACCATCCGTTGATGAAAGCTAACAATTTTTACATTCTGATTCTAAACATATACTCTGATTCCTTTTCATATTGAAACTTGATTAAATAAAATTCAAATTTAATTGATACTTGTGTTTCTTGTGAATATCCAAAATCTGTGTTGCCACCATGAGTCCAAAAGAGTGTCGTTAGAATTATTTTGTATTACGGGAAAAAAAAAATCCTCCAATTGAATATCTATTAATTACCATTTTATTCAAGAAAATATAATGAACTGAACAATTTCAATCAGTGCCGGACCCACATTGAAGGCTGAGGGGTCACTTGCCCGCTCTGGCTTATGAATAGGGTATCAAAAAAAAAAAAATTTGGTATTGTTCCTCTAAATTTTATTATATTAATGAGTGTTTTTATAATTTTTATAGGTCATTGTTGTTGGGTGTCCTTTCTTATGCCTTCTCATTGGGACCCAACTCAAATTAAAAACATGTACATGTGTGCGTTCAAACTATGTATTGGAAGAGTTTAGCATAAGCCAAGAATTGAAGACTTTTTGTCTTCTAAGTTGTCTAACCTATTTTTTCACTTTAAGTGGGAAAAATCTGTAGAAAATATTGAGAGGACAGCTTCTTTTGTGAAAGAAAAGTGGAAGACAGCAGCCCATGTCTTGCTCTTGTCCAAGACTCATTTCTACTGTGATCGATCTAAAAATTCAGTGATATATTCCTCACTTCCATAGCTAATTTCAACTGATTCAGGTTGTCAATCAAACTCTTTTATAATTGGTTTTCAATGACAGAAGTTCAGCCACTTGAGTGAGATCTTTCTAGTTACTTTATATTGAAATCCACACAAGGATGATGTTTTTATGTTTGAGAGCCAATGAAATATTTTTCTCTTGATGTTTGACATCTCTAGTTATGACTAGAAGACTTGTAATATTACTTTCGTTAATAGTGGAAAGATTGGACCAAATTTGGTCTTGTGGTTTTTCCTTTCGCCTTGAAGGGTTTTCACATTAAAAATTCTTGTGTTTCTTATTGTTGTTTTGGTTTGCTTATTGTGCTTGTTTGTGATTTTTTGGTCATTCTCTATTGATTTGCACATAGAGGGAAAGTCACTAGTTTTTCCAACAATTTTATAACAAATATTAATTTTTTGGGGTGATTTTATTTTTATCATTTTTATGAGTATTTTTATTACAGAAATGATAAAAATAATTACCACAAAAGTGAAAAAAATCACAATGTAATAAATGATGGTAAAATACTAATTTTGTCTTTCCGATATCATATACTTGTCCCTCTTCATATAATGTTAATAATTATGTTAAATTTGAGATTTTGCCTCCCCTCCCCCCCCCCCCCCCCCCCCTCTTTTTTTTTTTTATCTTGCAAATTGGTATGGTGGTTGTAGCTCTTTTTCTTTTTCAGTAAATTCGTTGTCCAAGGTCTATTAACCCATTAAAATAAATATTTTATTTTTCGACTAAGTACTATAGATGGGAATCAAAGACGATACCTCCCTTCTATTTACTACATTGCCTTCTATTTTTCAAAATTATTTATGTGGTTCATCTCGATTCTTTTTTGAGAAGTTAGTGGCGCTTAACTTGGTAAAATCACAATTAAATACAAATGACAGAAGTATCTTAACTCAAAAATATTTTTGCCGCCTCCAAATAATAAAATTCACGTCAAGATGTAAAAATATGTGAACTCGGGTTTGCAATAAAAAGAATGATGATTTTGTTACAAAAGCTTCGATTGTGTGCATTGAAAGAATACGACCACGAGAACAGTTAATTGTCAAAGTACATCACAATACAAGTGGTAAAAAAGTATTTATAGGCATCATGTCGAACTAAAAAAGCTTGAAATAGTAAATCTGATACTCTAAATTCCACTAAAACTCTTCTACCAAATCAGTCAATCTTGGTAAAATTTCTCTCTCAAATGTGCATTAGAAATTCACAATATATCCGTGTACAAGCTCATTGACTTTTGGGTCTAATAGATACGAGCTACTCATTCCAACTCTTCTTAATATTTTGTTAATGATATGGATGGCATTGATTCATGTTTTCTTTTAGTAATTTTCGAAATATTAACCACAAAGATAAGACTTGCTGAATTATCGAATCAGACTTTTGAAATCGAATTCAAACTAATTAGAGTCAAATTTAGATCAAATCCGTCGACTGGTCTACATGCTTCTCAAAAAATTAAGAAGTTTAATTCAATCTTGGTATGAAAAGAAGGTGCATATTAAATTGCACTGCCCTCCTTACCCTCTCTGTGGCATCGCCATATCTCTTCAGTGCAAATTAAGGCATCTCATTCATGATGAACCATATATATACCCAACTGCTTCACTCTGCAAGCACATTATATTATTCTTGAATATTGAATCAATTATAAGGTTTTTTTTGGTGAAATTATAATTTTTTGGGGGGCAATTTCCAACAAAATGGGATTGCAAAAATCAATCCTAAAGTAATATTTTAAGATGAGTCCTAATTTTTTTGATATAAACGGTTAGAGGTTTTGGGCCGGCTTATACATACCTCAACTAATCTTCTCCTCGGTCCGATCAAAGTTAAGTCATCCACGTCGGGGTTCAGGTATTTATGTGGAATTAATGTTTTATAATTTTGTCCTAAGAAATTGTCAAGATTAAAATTCAAAACGTCTAAGTTTACTGTTCGTTCATATTATCATTTCAGCTACCCTTGTTGTTGTAACTTTAACTTCAAAAAGAAAATTTTTTGCAACCTAAATTTGATGCTCGAAAATAATTGCCCTAGTCCAACCGATGATGTTTTGTGGACATTAGTGACTTAGTTGAGTTAGAGGTTGATCTATGAGAATCAAAAGAACACACTGCATAAGTGGTTCACCTCAACCAGGAGACTAAGGCTACGTCCACGAGGCTTGTGCTCCTTGGGGTTGTATTTTATTTTATTTAAAGAGGTTACAACAATAAATATTGGCTCAGGGCCTTCTTTTTTTTTTTTGACTATGAGAGCTCAAGGAAGAAGATGATCTCTTGTTCGATAACAGTGCCCTATTTATATAGTGACTCCTTTATGGTTTCCTGTTGTTCCTTATCCCTTTTTGTTGATTTTGTGGGTCCTTCCGCCTCTGTTCTGTAACAACTTCTATTATTTAGTGCCATTGTTCCCACGATCCCCGGATGATTATGCGCACCAACACCCTCTCCCCCAGTGAGTACGTGATTGTCATAGGTGTCAGAAGTGATCCCTTTGTTCCCAGGACACATGGTGCGACGGGAGTGCTCCGGAAAAAAGCGTTGGGCTAGGCTCCTTTATCTCGAACCATCCTTTGACTAGGTTGAATCAGGACTAGGTCGGGCCTTAAGTCTTCTGGTATTGTTGGGCTTTACTCTTTAGGTTTGGCCCACTCCGCTCTTGATGTAAACTAACCGTGGGTGCTCCTGTTTAGGCCGTTAAGCTGGCAAAGGTTTCCTGGACTTTATTTGGGCTCTTAGATGGTGGCCCATCCTCTGGATTCCATCATTATCAAATCCCCACTGGCATTTCAAATAAAAATGTATTATTGGATAAGTAAGTCTCATTAACTTTTTTAAATAGTACCTATTGATTCAGTGATCCTTATTGATTTAAAATATCATTTAGAATTTCAAATTTTGGTTACATAGCATCGTTCAAGAAATTGCATTTTCACCTAAAAACATGGTAAGGTTTAGTATCGTACCTCTTTCGGTTTCGAAATCTTACCCTTTACTTGTAATCAACATTCCTTTTACCAGTCTGGCGATAACAAAAAATAACTTTTTCCTAATATACTGAAAAGTGATTTTTGGCTGAGACTTTGGTTTAATTCAACTGTAATCATTTTTCAAAAAACTAATATATAAGTGAAACAATGTAATAATAAAATTTTACATGTATAAAAAAAATGTTATATAACTCAAATGAAACCCAAAAGTTAAAACTCAAATGCATATCATCCATTAGATAAGTGTGGAATAAGTGGGTTCCACTGAAAAAATTGATGGGATATATTCATCTAAGGGATGATATGCATTTGAGTCACAACTTTTTGGGTTTTATTTGGATTTTGTATTATTGCTAAAAAAAAAAGGTACAAAAATGAAAATTAGTTTTTGGTTATCTCAGTACTACACTCCTCTTCACATAGTTTAGCTTCACAAACATATATTGTTAATCAATACTGCATCTAGGGCTTGTCCCATTAATGGCAGTGAATCAAAACTAAACTTGCATAAGCTCTTGAAAGGCTTTCATGGCAGTGAGTGGCAAGCCTAGAAGCAAAGTGGTTCCTCTCTTCTCCTTCCCACTAGATATAAACAAAACCACTTCTTTCTCTGGTAAGGTCACAGCACCTGATTGAATTGGCTCTCCCCACCCAAAATCTGCAGTGTTAAAAGCAAGTCTAGTCCATGAAGTGACCAAAAGAGTGCCAGTAAGGGAAGGCCTTGCTCTAGTTACTTCAAAATAATCGATTGTCGATCGGATAAACTCATCAGTCACCATTTTGATTGCATTTTTTACTAATCCTACTGCAAAAGATAGAGGTTTTTCGATTAATTCTCCTGCAGTGCAGAGACAACATGTTAGCACAATTCCATTGCCAAAGTACCCTTTTGGCAGTGGTGGAATTAGCTTTGATCTTCCATCAACAGCAAATAAAAGCTTGGTTTGTTGGTTAGGTTTCATCTTCAACACTTTGCTTCTGGCACGCCATACTAAAGCTGTGAGTACTGTGAAGCTTGTGCAGCTCTTAATCACTCCATCTTCCATGGCTATCTTCTTCAATCTTGCAAGCTTTTCGGGATCAAAATCGAAGGATTTAAATACCATTTGGTCTTGTTGGTAGAGGGAAACCATGTTTGATATGTCCTTTATCTCTAAGAACTCTTCATGGGGGAATTTGATATTAGGAGGTTGTCTTGATGTTAAGATTGATCTATCAAGAAATGGTGGGGTAGAAGGTGATATTCCTCTTGCTGTCTCAGCCCAGGAATTTACGAACCCCATTGCTGTTATTCCATCGGTCAAACAATGGTTTATTGTCATTCCCAGCACAAAACCCCCACACTTGAACCTTGTCACCTGTAAATTCCCAGTAAAAACAACTGCAACAGTTATAGTCTTTTGATATAAATTTTTTATTACAGTTGTATTCACCGGCACAAAAAAATGTGTTTTTGTGGCAATAATTTTGTCACAAAAGATTTATTTTCTGTCTCAAATACTATTTGAGAGATGTTGTTGCCACCGTAAAATTTTTTTAAGACTCCACTTATTATGGCGGCCATTGTGGTGGCATTGACCGTCATAATAAGTGGAGTGTGAAAAAGTATTTATGACGGCAACAACTCGTTTCAAATAATATTGATGGTAGTAAATAACTTTTTTATAACAACATTACAATAAAAAAAAAATTCTTTTCAAAACACGATTTTTTGTGACGGTTTGACTACAAAAAACTTCTTTCAAAAGACACTAATTATTGTATTAAATAAAATAACAGCAAACAATTACCTAATATTAAAATTTTAAAATCTCTTATTAAATTTCTATTAATCATCTAATGATTACGAATGCAACGTATTAATTGGTACAAGAAATTCGGTTAAAATTTCGAGTTATTAAAGCTTTATAATATACAAGATATGAATGAAAGAGACTGGAAATCAAGTTAATGAACATATATAGCTGGATGGTGATGTTACGTACTTGGTCCAAAAGATGGTTGGTAGCTACTGACGTATGGTCACCAGGGCATCCACCCATGTGGCTTTGATATCAATACTTGTCACATAGTGAGCCTTATTTTCGTTAGAAAATCAATCAAACTAAAGCATCGTGTAGTCCTATGTTTCACATTGAAGAAAAGAATGGCCTCTTAATAGAGTCGGCTCGAAAGGTAAACCACCTAAACATTCGTCTAGGACTCTCAAAAAAAGAAAAATCTCAATTTTATTTGTAATTTTTATCAAATAATTTTATTTGACCCAATAAAATTCAGGATTAATAACATATAAGTAGCAAGGTCAATATTGAAAAGAAGATGACTAAACTTCTCTCTTTATTAAAGAGAACACTTCTCTATTTTTATTAATAACAACAAATAATTTCATATAATAAAAAATAACACACACTTACACCACCAAAAAGACCCTCTCTCTCTCTCTCTCATATTACGTGCTTTATTAAGGAAAAATCTTTCTGTCCCTCCATAAATAAATATACACATATAGATCATCTTACTCGTACGTTAGATTGCAATGACATTAAACTTTAATTTTATATTTTTAATAATATAATTTAGTTCAATTTTACTATTCTTCTTATTGGCGAAGTTCAGACTTTATATAGAATTTGAAATACAAACAAAGAATCAAAGATGATATGCAATCCCTATTTATCAACTATTGTTTCATTTTATTTTTAACAATATTCTAAAGAAATTGCAGTGGGCTAGTTATATTATTAACTAAAACATATATATTAATAAAATTTAAATATAGAAACTTAATTATTAATTTTGCATCACATAAAAGCCAGAACAATAATTTTTAATAAAATTTTAATCATATATCTTATATATTTATTATTAATTTTAGAGAACCTAATTTATTATTTTCGCTTAAGGCCTCAATTTTCATTGGGTCGACCCTGCCCTTAAAAATATCCTAAACTTTATAAATAGTTAGTATGGTGAATTTTTCTTCCACTTCTTGGTATATTAACTATGATAAATTTAATTGGGATTCACTGTATATAATGGGTTCCACAACCACAATCGTTAATGGTTAACGATATCAAACAACAAAAAAAAATGAAAGAACAAAGTATAGGAGCGGATCTAGATTTCCTAGTGAGTACTCCTTACATGCATGCATGAATGTATATACTAACTATATGATGGACAGGATTTTGAAATGAGAACATATTCTTTACACGCAGTCTGTAAACTAATTGTTTATAGGCAGTCAATTAAATTTTGAGAATTACACAAATATAAAAACTAATGTTAAGGATTTCCAATAAATTTATATAGTTGTCAAAGTTTAATTGATTTGCAGACTGCTGGTAAAGAATGTATTGTCGGTTTGTATACCTGTGCAGTGAGCAGAGGCATTTCCAACAAGTTTGTCGCACCAGGAACTGTATAAACAAGCTTCTCAAGCATCGAAGGATCGGGCACCGTAATGTCACCCAACACATCCAAATCACACTCCGCCATCGCCTCCACGAACGGCACACCTCGATTTGTGCACTTCACAATAAGTTTCCCATCGGAACTTATCGTTAAACTGCCGGTGAGTGGGTAAAAATGAACTAAAACTTTAGCTAAGGCTTGTTTGATAACATCACCAATGCCCTCAGTACTGCTCTTGTTGTCATTATTCGCCTTGAAACAGTACACTGTTTGGATTATAACTGCGATGTTCTGATCAAGGTTGGATAAGAAGTAGAACTCGTCGTTGGAGTCAGAGGTGGTTTTCGTCTCCGGCCGAACAAAAAGGGGTTCTGATTTCTTCATAGGGATCATTTGTCCTTCCATTGGAACTCTCTCTCTCTCTCTATAACCTTCAAAATAAACCAAAACTATCTAAAAAATATTAAGTTTTAGACAGATATTTTAAAAAGAGAAAATAAAAGATAAAAAAAAAACATAATTATAACGTGGTTAAGTCCTAAAACCTACGTCCATGACGCATAAAACTCCATAGGTCTATATATTTTACATAAACCCGCTTGACCCATCAATTATCGGATCTACGACATAAACTAACAATGGTGGTAGTTGAGATAAAAGCACTAAGCAAGCAACACTAGAGCATATATATATATACCTGTGGTTTGTTGGTAAAGCTTGCTCCTCTAGTGTTCCTTAGCAACTTTACATTGTGTGGGTACCTTTTTATATTATTGTCGGGAGGAGGGTTGGTTGAAAAGTTATATTCCATATTTAAAGCTGATAGGATAAGAGAGACAGGGTTGATATAATTGCGTGAGTCCATTTGGTTATCGAAAGAGCAATGCTATAAATCTAACGCTCTCGTTGGTACGTGATAATGCTTTTCAGTAAAAATGTAATGAATTTGAGAATGAAATGAATTTAGGAATGAAATAAACTTGGAAATTAAACAGAATGTGCATTACTATTATAATGTTTAGCAATTATTTAGGATTACGTATTCAAATAGAACATTCATTACATTCTTATGTTTGGATAAAATAATTTTTTCATTGACATGGAATCAAATTTAACCAAAATATCCAAAGTGACTAAAAATAATTAATAACAATTTTTTTATGATTGCTATTGCCTTTAAAAGTTGTGTAAAACATTTTATAATTAGAAAAAAATGAGAATCCATTGAAAAAAATTAAACCCCTATAAATTTTAAAAAATTAGAAAATAAATTCCTTGAAAAATAGGTTCACAAAATGAAATCAAAATAAAAAACTATTCAAAATTGGTCATTCATTTCAAATGAACAATTATAGTTCTTTATGAATTTAGTAGAGTACATGTGCCAACCCAAAAAGAAAACTATCAAGACAACTAAGAATCTCATCCGAATATGTAGATTAAACTAAAAAATAAATTGATGAAAAACAAGTCTTAAAAATAATCAATAGTATACAGAAAAAGAGAGACGAGACCACATGAGACGATAGAGAGGAAAACAGTGAGTGATCGAGGTTTTTTTTCCAGATGGGTTGGGTCATTACTGTGTGAATTGGGAATGAAGAATACCATGTGGGATTTGGAAATGCCTATCCCATAATTTATGGGATTAGGTAGTCCTTTGAAATGGGAATGGATTTTAAATCTTGCATACCAAACATTTGAATAGGATTCCCACGGAATGTTTATTTCATTCTCAAGGCATAAAATCATATACCAAACATAGCGTAAAGGTATTTTAAGTAATAACAGAGATTTATTATAAATTTAGAAGTTTTGAGTTTGAATTTTGGTAAGTTCTTGAGGTCAAGTCATGAAGGATTTATCCTTCACGAATACCCTAGTCTCGCTATGGATGACATGCTTTCGATTGGATCAGAGATGAGATTAGTTAATTTGCGCATAAGTTGGTTGGGACACTTTTGACCATTGAAACAAAAAAAAAAAAAAGCAATGTTGTAGGGTCCTAATTTAAGGGCTTAATTAATCAATGACCTAATTAATTCAATCATGAAATTAGTTATGATTTTTAAAATTAAATTGGACCAACTTTCAATTCAATGGTTACATTGAATTAGATACTCAGATGGTTCAAAAAATAAAAATAAATAGATACTTAAATTAAGTCTCCAAATTAAGTCCGAATAATATTTTTTTTCGATATCAAAATAACACTTTTTGATATTATATCTCTACATTTCATCGAATACAAATATGTCATGTGTAACATTTTTTATTTTATTATATTTTATTACTTTATGGCTTTTTCAATAAATAATTATAGATCATTCAAATCAAAATCAACCATTTTGATCAATATTCGGATTGATATCTCGATGGAGCCCTGTCCTAATTAATTGGAACCAACGTACTTTTGATCTAATGATACTTCTTATCTTGTGAAGATTTTATCTTCTTAAGGTGAAGGGTTCAAGTGCCATTTTTCCTCCCCCGTCCCCCCAAAAAACAAAAAAGAAAAAAAATTAATTGGAATAATGCATATACAGCAAGTCAGTTCACACAAGGACCTTTAAAATAAGCCTTGGTGTCACTTTGATCCGAGATGAGTGGATAATGTCGTCTGAAGCATATTTTTCAGTACCATAAATGGAATTAGCTGGGAATTAGTTGAATGGCATTGTCATAAGTCCCTTCAGATTAGGTTTGGAAAGCATTGAATTTTACCGTATAATTTAATGCGATGAAAATAACGATCAAGATTTCATTCAATACATTTTTTTTTTTCAATTTTAATCGATAATAAACCACTCATGCCATTTTTGGGTGTAAGACCTACTTTTCAATAATGGACCATGCTTGACTTTTCATGCATATGGTAGGGTTATCATCACAGGTGGCCCCACACAAAATATAGCTTAAAACAAAAAATTTAAATGAGGTCTTATTAGTTTTTAAAATAAATTTTAAGATTTGAATTATTATAAAATATTATTTATGTTATTGTCTTTTGAGATGCATAATTATTTATTAGATTTAATGTTAATATAATCAACGAAAAAAACATCATTATAAATAGTAAAACTTAAGCTAAATATCATAAATTCAAATGGTGTTTTATGTTGTCATTAATAACATAAACTACTCCTCAACAAGCTCAAATCAAACCTAAAAAACTCTAAAATTTATTTTTTTTGGGATACTAACATAAAATTGAACTTTATCAAATATGCATCTAAAATTTATATTTTAACATTAACCTAATTAAACCGCCACAAAATGGGGCCCTAATAATTCGGGGTCTAAAGCGGCGACTTTAATGGCTATGCCATTGAGCCAGCCCTATTTCTCATATTGAGGGAAAAAAAAAATTATATATATATATATATATATTCTAGTTGATGAATATACGCTATACTTAAATTTAGGAGTGTCAATCGTGTCGTATCGTGTGATCTACGTGTCGTATATTTTCGTATTGCGTCATTATTATTCAATCGTGCTCGTGTCAAGACCCATAAAAAAAAATCTATTTAATGTATTTTGAATATTAAACATTAGTATAAACTATTTATTTTGTGTATTTAATAATTATATCAATTTTATAATCGTAAATTTTGGATTCGTATCAACATGTAAAAGTTGACACCCTTACTTAAACTGATGACCTAAGGGTAGGGTCTTATAGGGGGTGTCAATGGTGGTGTGTTGTATTATTTTTTTCATATCGGGTCATTTTTTAATCATGTTATTTTTAATTTGTATAAATAAAAAATATTTAATTATCAAATAACTTGTATCATAGTATATAAAGAAATTTAATTGTATGTAAAATATTTATTTTCTAGTTACGGTACAATCTAATCGTAATATTTGTATTTAATTTTAATTTAATTAATTTATTATTCTTGTCAATTCATCGTATCGTATCGAATTTCATATTAGGTAAAATTGACACCCTTACCTAAAGGATATATTAGGTTCACAAAATCTTAATTTAATTCATTTGAGTCAACATGTACTGTATCGCCATGAACCGTTGTTCTATTTTTCAAATTTTAAGTGATAGATACAAATATAGGGTAAATTATAGTAACACCCCTTGTAGAATGCCCAAAATATGGTCAAAAAATTATAATTTGACCTTAAAAAATTATAATTTTTTTTACGATACTGATGATATACCATAATATTTCACCAAACATGAAATTGGTATTGGGGGAAGAATTTTTGTCTACATAATCGTTGTTATTCTAAAAGGATATATGAAGTAGAGGGGATTTCAGTGGTTCCAAAAAAACCTAAGGGATATTCCAGTATTAAGACAACTACAAGGAACGTCATTGTAATTTATCCAAATAAATAAGTAAATAAATTAAATAATCCCCTTCATTGATTTAACAAGAGAAATAAAGGGGTCGGACAGGCTAGCTAAGCTTTCATTTCATTGTCCGCTCACCTCCTGACGTTACACGTATCAATTGGATATTCTGTTGTTCTCGATTTAAAATTTTGGCTTAATTTATTGATATAATTAAGAGTGTTCGAGTTTTAGATTGAGCGCAATTTTCTACCCTATTCGACTCTATCCTACCCTACTGAACTGCTAGTCACAAAAATCGGATAGAAATACAAAAGGGTTTTTGGTCTTCCGATTAAATCGGGTAGGAATGCGAAATATCCATCAATTTTTGCATTCCTACCCTATATTTAAATTTTTTATATATTTTTTAATAATTATAAAAATATTTGTGTTGTATAATTTATATTATAATACTGTTATTGTTGTAGATGTTTAAATTGCGAAAACATGGATTTGTTTTTTTGTGTAGGTTATATGATTTGTGGCGAATTAGTTATCTATTGGAGCAGTTATATTTTTAATGTGTTTCATATAGTTTACACTTAAAATAATTGTTATTGTATTTGTATAACAATTATGATAGATTGATGTTCCTGTTTTCTTATATTTTATTGTAATTGTTGTTGTAGTTGTTTTATATTTTAGCGCTATTGATTTATTTTGTTGTTAAATTTGTGTATTTTATTTAATTGAATTGTAAAAATGATCCAAAAATTAATAGCTACAGAAGTATTTACCCAGCTTCTTACCTGATTAATTGGGCAGAAAGTCAGGTAAGAATACCATACCTGATTGAGTAGGATAAGTCAAAAAAAAATTCTTCTGCAAAGTATCGGATAAAAAGACGAAAGACTATATTTTCTACCCGTAGGGTAGGGTGAATATCCCTAAGAATAATAATGTGGTTTCAATAGAATCATTGCATCAACACTAAGTTTTAATGTTTGATAGAGTTCACAGTCAATTCAAAGATCATAATAAATTATGTCAATAAATTAGATCTCAATATCATTATTCATGCTTGTAAGTGGTACGTTTTTGTTGAGAGCTTTTGGTTGTGATACTCTTCATTATATTTTCATCCAATTTAACTCGACAATAACTTACTAATCATAAATTTAAGTGGGATTCGTTATTTGTCAATAAGTCCCTCATCAATACTCTATGTACAAAAGCAGATGGCAGTTTTACAAATCTTTCTCAAACACAGTTAATTTTTAGAAACATTAGTCCAACTACCGTCAATAAGTAAAATTGATTGACGTTTTATGTGTAATTTTTTAAACACGTTGGTTCAATTGAAGTGTTTAAAAGACCACCATTACATTGTGGTGGTTAGGTAAGGG